CACAGGCAGAATACAAGACAATAAGGGATAAATAGATAAGCACAGGAACCTGTGGTTTCGCAGTCAGAAATTAATTCCGTGATATCTAATTTGATATTTTCATCAAAGTCAAATATTATTTATTTCATAGGTAAGGAAATTACACTTAAAATCGTTATACTGATAAACTCTACTGCTCATTCGTAAGACAGGTTCCCCTGAGAAGAATGAGCAAGAAACTCTAAGGGTTGCTCTTGTAAATATACATTTGGATACTATTATCATTACAGCAATTAATTTAATCATCTTAGATCGAGACTATCTGTAAGAACTAAATGGGTCACTACCACGGATTTTTGTCCTCCATCCTTTAGTATAAAGTTTCTGTTTCGCTATAGTTTCAAACCTCATAAATGGCAAATTTTGAATATCGATCGGAATTATTATTATAGAAGCGTACATACACATTGTTCCTTAAATGAATTTGAGACTTTATGAAGACGACTGTCAAGAACAACTAGTTAATTTTTATTCGTCGTATTAATGCTATGTCTGTCACTATTTTTCATGAAAAAATTAATCTGCGTCATCATATCTATTATGTCTCTCGGTTTAATTTTTTATTTTCATCCACCATCTTAGTATTTTTAGTATGATGTTAAGTATTGTTTCGTTCTTAAGTTGATGTTACCGGCACATGAACCTGGTATCTCCTCATTTAGTGCCTACCAGCGTATTGACCGCTGCGCCACCAAACTAGTTATTAAAACTTTTCAATATTCTTCAGTAAAATTTTAATTTTCTATTTCACTTGATAAGTCACGATGAGGTCGACGAGGGTTCGCACTCTCTACAAACGAGACAAAGGAATAAGATAGATAAAAATTAGAGAGTAGAGTGCCCAAAATGCTTTTAGCGTTTTCTATTGTATAGTTACTGACTAGACGTTGGAAAAGGTAGATAGGCAAACCATTTTTGTTAAATTAAATTTATTTTTGCTCTGCAACAATCGAATGCTGTTATAAGGCGGCTTACCACGGTCCATGATTTTACAGATCCCTCTCACGGCCAACGACCGGACACACCCTTTCTTTTTAATAATTAAATGATTATAGAATGACAATCCATTGCCAGGCACCGATCTCGCCTGTATTTCGCTATGCATTGATCCATGTACCGCTGCAGATGCTTTTCACTCAAGATGGGCCTCTACCCTTAGCCCACGAGAGCAAATTTCTACGAGGTGATGTGTTAAATCACGGACCGTGGGGAAGTCGCCTTTACAAGTCAATGCTGTCATGATTGTACGTCATGGTTCTGCTGTTTACGAATTTAATGTTTATTTTGTCGATTTGGAAGTTTCAGCAATATTTTTACATAAAAACTCATCAGCATAAGTGCTTCAAAAATAAATCCCTCTGAACAAACCAAATTTCGCAACAGTGACGTGGACGTGACTGCCGGGCAGGCAATTATAAAGTTAAATGAACTCCCACTTGCCTTCATTTACCGCAGCACTTTGCACCTTGTTTACTATTGCATTAAGTTGATTAATTGAATTGGTTGTATTTGAGTAAATAATTGATTTTTGTAATTTATACGTGTCAGGTCGTGGTAGGATGTCAATTGTCGTGAATTGCGTATTATAACAATTTACAGGAGTTTCAAGTAAAACTCAGATAGTAAGTCCACAAAATGATCTCCTGGAAAACATAAAAAGACAAATACAAAAATTACTATATATAAAAATATTACATAAGGCAAAGAGAATTTTAAACGTCCTGTGCTTGTATCTGAAGGAAATTTCCTCTTCAGCATTTTCACAACAGTAAAATTTAAACCAAAACCAGTAAAATAAAGAATCCTAGCAAAATAAATACGCCAATGGAAGTACCGATTAAAACCATTTCCGAAAGAAATCAGATCCGCAAAGTGAAATTCCATTTTGTTTTATAGACAGACTGATTGTTACGAAATCCAAAGAATCTTCGGATTTTTGTTCAAAGCTGTATTTTATTAAATAATAGTCGATCCTTTATTCATATTGTAAAACAACTTGCGTTTTAGATTTAGTATTCGTAATTACATATTATTATCATCAAATGTTCGCTTATATTGTGTTTCAGATTTCTTTGTTTGAGACATCAACATTAAAATGTCCAATTACACATAATTAACTTGTAATAAGATCTGAAGCATAATACAAAATGTACAACAATTTAGATATCTAGTCAGCCAATGGTAGCTGCAAAGGAACCTGGCTGAGTGAAGAAAAACTTTCATATATTTCTTAAAGATGGCGCTATATACACTTAGAAAAATTTGTAAGGTCTGCTGGTTCATTGCGTAGCTCAGTTGGGAGAGCGTCGGGCACGGCATGCTGAAGGCACTGATTTGTATCTAGCCGCATAAAAGGAATCTTTCTCAGTGTTCGATCTTGGTATTAATAGAGTCGTATTAGAATAAACTAGTGGAGCAATTTCACAAAAAATAATTTCATGTCATGGTAGTAAAAATCGTGATATTCAATAATCTTAATATTATTTAAACAATGTCTGATATAATATTCAAAATGAATGTTAAGGTACTTTAATAACTTTAATATAGAGCACTAATTGAAAATAAATGATACATAAATAACACAAACAAAATTCTCTCATGCCATTACTAAACAAACACTAACAATCCGGATTCCAATGTTGCTAACATTACTCACAGTTCTACCACTCTGCCAACTTTCATTGTTTGTACCAACTTTGGGATTCCTTTAGTTTTAATTACCGGACTGCAGTCGATAAAATTCCGCTGTAACAAGTCTTAAAGAATGCTACATCTGCTGAATGGTGCTATTGCGGATTCTTTGGGGAGTGTTTTGTGAATTCAACTCTTAAAGCGCTTTAACGTTTAAGTCAAAGAAATACAGTGAATTAGGAGCTGTGGTAAGGAAGATAGAAACTTTTTTAAATTCTTTTTTAGTTTTCGTTGTAGACCTTGAATACACGTTTTATAAACTGCGACAAGCCCGTTTAATATCTTTGATATATATATAATAAGTACCTAAAACTAACTTTCGAAAACAAAAAGTATGAATTATTTATAAGGGTATTCGGGACAACGGTTGTTACTATTCATGAAACAAAAGTATCGTTCTTCGTCCACTCATCTTCTTCTTCTAGTTAAATCTGACATGCTTATCGGGGTAGCAACTTCCAATTATCTTTGCTGTATGCTTTCTATTGAACTTTCTTATACAAACATTACATCACTTTTACTTTTATCTGGACAATATAAATTTTCTTCGGACTTCTCCCATCGTGTGTTTCTTCAATCTTTCCTTCTATGCTGTGTCAATGATGTTATCATTTCGCGAGACCTAACTTGTTCTCCATCATATCTATGCGCCTTTATTTATCTATTCTTTAAAATTAAATTACTTCCGTTAATAGCTGTGAATAACATGTCTATGATGAAACCGAAACTACTTAATATCTATTGTACCGTACTCAAACGCTCCCTCGTTTTAAGTCCATTATGATTTTGTTATCGCATTCCACGCACCCTGCCATTTGAAAAAAGTTTACTCAACAGGATAAATATCTTTAAATATTCAAGGGACAAAAGTTTTGCTTAACCGCACACACCTATTTACCGGTTAGTGTCAGCAAAAATGACATGGGTGCTTCGCATTGTTTTGGTTTGATGCCCTCTTCGTGAAAGGTCAGATGTGAGACGGAATGTTTTGTTTCGAATTTAACAGTAGGTAGTACACATTATTAAAAGGTACCATTTGGTTTCATTCATGGATTGGGTGATTAATACACAAACATAGGATCAACGTTGTCTTTAATGATTACCATAGCTCTGTTAGGTAATATCCATACGAGCGCCTTAAGACTTAAGTTAGAAATCGGACAATTTCGTTGTAAAAGCGTCTGAGATTGTATTATTCTTCCTAATGACTACCGTTTATCATCAGCTCACACGCATCCACTACTATACATAAGCACTCCTCTTGAGCACGCCAACTCTCCCGATCCTGCGCCGCCTTTAGCCGCTGCCGGCAACATTTCTCATTTATTTATTTAATTTATTTAATCAGGCTCTCACAGCAATGAGTACCGTCATATACACAAGATACCTGACCACCCAAGCCGACTTTGTGGACCTTTTGGTTCTAAGCACAAAAATGTGGAGAAAATTGTTAAACAAACTTAATCTTTAACCTGTGAGCCGTACAATTTATTTTGGTATGACTCTCTGGTCGTCTCATTACTGAATGACATTTTAAGAAAGTTTTTAACCCAATTTGATCTTTAACGTATGGTTCTGACTAGATACAGAACACAAATGTCAAACAACTTTTGTAACGCCGTCGTGGCCAAACGGTACAAGGATTGCTTTGCAAATTGAGGCAAGCATGGTTCGAGTCACTTTAAAAATAAAATATATTTATTTATATATTTAGCTATTTATTATGTAATATTGTATTTTTTTGTTTTTGACGTCGGGATAGGTGTAAGGAATGTCTAAGAATATTAGATTCTCAAAGTGAACCCCACCTTCCACAAACATTAAGTGAATGAAAAGTAACCTTGGGTAATTTAACACAAAAGGACAATCAATAATGCCTGAGACAATTCTTTTGATACAGGTCACATCAATCACTTTTCTTCAGTTTCTAGCGTAGCCATCTTAAAATGTTTCAAACGATTGTCGTATGATGCAAGTTTTGCAGCTAATTTGCTCGCGCGTCCGTCATTCCACAGGGCGTTTTACACTACGTTTTCCCCGTCGCCACTCTAGGACATGCCTACCATAGAGTAATGGAATACACTATCTGTGTTTCCCCATGACTAGAATGACTGAAGATCTGAGGAGGTTGTGGCCAAGCATACGTAGATTTTTAACAAAAACAAAGATCTCTTCAAAGACATTACAATGCTGATATCCTTAATCCACACTAAGAATCTGTATACAATATGAGTTTATGTATATTTATAACATTTTTTTCCTTGTTTCAGAATCTTAAGAATCAAATCATGACAACGAACGTGTGGGTAGAACAGGTAAGTGATTTCGTAAAGGAAATTTTTGTTTCATTGTTTTTAATGTTATTTAGGCAGCAAACAAGCTTACGGCCTGACTGGTGAAAAGTGAACACAGTCGCCTATGAACACCTGCTAACACCAGAGGTGTTACGAGCGCATTGTCAACCCTTTGGGATTTTTCCATTTCATTCCACAACCCAATTGTTCGTGGGAGGAAGTTCCTCTGAAACTGAACAGTACGAGATCGACTCGACTCCGGAGTTTGAGAATGAACTCTGATTTCTCAGCTGTATAGTAACTCCCAAAGAAATCATTGATCGACGTACAACCGTAAACAATAAACTGACAATATATATCAAGAAGAAAATATAGAAATGTTATTCCTCAAACTTACGCCCGAAATATCACAATAGAGAGTGACTTTTCCTAACTACATTCATTTGTAATGGGAAGGAAGTCCCGGGAACGACACGTAAACAGGGGCACGTCTTATTTCTGTACTATTGACAAATTGCTCCCGTCCGGACCTCACTCGTTCTGACAAGGTCGCTATGGGACATTTGGACACTCTTTTTAATTTTTCTCTCTCTTTATTTCTTTTATTTTTCCGCAAATGAATGCGAATTTGTGATTTTATTGTATGAATTACATTCATCGTAAAATGTAGAATATTTTATAAATAGCTTTAGCTGAAAATATCGACAAAAACTGTGATATATTTAAAATAAAATGTTTACAGAAATCTTTATCGCTTTCTACATTTTTTTTGTTGCGAATCAACAAAGCGGGGTCGATAAAATAATTCTTATCAGTAAAAGTATTTTTGTCGCGGTTTATTAGGTTGTAAATTTCACTTGCTTATTTCTACGATGTCACGGCCGCGGGACCTGAGATATTTCCTATAGAGCGGAAACAGGAAGGCGTGAATATGAAATTGTAATTTTTGAGTTTATTGAACGTCACGATGTTATACCTTGATATTCAATTATTTTTTGTGAAATTACTCCACTAATTTGTAGTAATTATCAATACGAAGATCGAACACTAAGATTCCTTCGATCCGGTTGGATTCGAACCAGTACCTTCTTAAATATTATTATTATTATTGTTAATTATAAGTAAAAGTGTGCTTTATTGTTTAAGAATTTTGTCAAGCATATTTATAAAATTCTTCTGTTAAGCATTGTGCTCTATTTTGGTTAAAGGTCAAGGACTGTACGACCTAACATCTGAATGTTTTCTCTAAATGACAGTAAGAGGAGATACGTACATTTATATATACGAGATACCTGACCCCCCAAGCCGACTTTGTCGACCGCTTGGTTCTGAGTACAAAAATGTTGAGAAATTTGTTAAACAAACTTAATCTTTAACCTGTGGGCCGCAAAATTTATTTTGATATGACTCCTTGGTAGTCTCATTAATGAAAGTTTTTAAGCCAATTTGATCTTTAACGTATAGTTCTTACTTAAATACAGAATACAAATTTCAACCAGCTATATAAGGACGTCGTGGCCGAGCAGTATAAAGATTGCTTTGTAAGTTGAGGCAAGCATGGTTCGAGTCACATTAAAAATAAAATATTATATAGCTATGACTATATAACATAGTATTTTTTTTGTTTTTAACCTCTGGATAGGTGTGAGGAATGTCTAAGAATATTAGATTCTAAAAGTGAACCCCCCACCTTCCACAAACATTAAGTGAATGAAATAAAAGTAACCTTCTTGTGTAATTCAACAAATATTTTAATATTTTATTCTTGTAAATTATAATTAGTAAACATATTTAAAATACTTACAGCCTGTATCTGTAACCACTGTATTTTGTTAAGCCTACTACACAATTTCCACAATTGTATCGATATTGACAAAACGCTAAAAAACTAATTTTATTACAATTAAAGTAGATTGATTGTTAAAATTCTTAAACTATCATTCAATTAATGGAATACCTTACGCATTTATATTTGAAGATTTCAACTTGACATCTCACAACTTTTTCCAATATTATTCATTTGAAACATATTATATAGGTAATATTGTTATGTCATTTTGCATAACAAACTATAGTTTTATAGGCTGCATTTTTACAAAATTATAAGGTAGTGCAGTAAATAGACATGTTACAATATCAACAATAACGTCACTCACTCTTTACATTATTTTTGCGATGACTCATAACTATAATATATATTATTAAAAACTACACAATTACCACTTCATTACCACAAAGAAAAGCCTTCAGAATCGATGACTTGCTGTAAACGGTCTTTCATGCCTGTGAACATCGACCAGCATAAATCTCGACCACGCATTGAACCTACATGGACACCACAAGGTCCTGGTCATTATTTCATGAATTTAAGATTTTGTAGTGGCAAAGGGATCTTCAATATGGCTATTGACAACACCTAGGTGACGACTAGATGCAGAAATAGGTAAACATTACCGGTGCTGACCCCGGCTGATTACGTTCCCCATTTCCAGTCGCTCAGGGGCGATTGATCCACAGCTTGACAGTGTTTCTCTGTGAACAAGCAATTTATAATAAATACTGCGTAATAGGCCCTCATAATTGTAGTTTCGAATTTCGCCTAATACTAGATTTATATATTTTTTAATTTTAATGATTCGTTAAACATGTTTCATAACACCCGTGGGATAATGAAGGATGGGGTGGTCCTTATTGCAAATTGAAGCCACCTGCAGCACTGTAAAAAATATAATGAGTCTACTTACCGCTATATGAAGTCGCCTTGCAATTTCTTTGATTGGCACATCTTGTCCATACTGAATAATAATTTATAATTTAAATATATGTAATAAATATATAATAATTCCGTTAAGCGTTAAGCGGCATATTAAAACAAAAAAGAACACCTTGAAAGTAATTAAAACTGAATAGATAAATGGAAACGAAACGTGGAACAATATGATATCACAGAAGACACGATCGTATGCAAACTGCTGAGCGATTTCTTCACTTGTTAATCTATCCATAACCACCCTATACTTTATTAATATTATCTACCCACCCACCTTAGGCAATTTCTGGTGAGCAAATATTGTGATTTGTCAAAGTGAAAAAATTCTGTTAAAAATATGACGTTAAAACAAAATAGTGCTCGTGGAATCGAACCACGGGTATTGTAACTGGCAGTCCATTCTACATACCGCTCGACCAATTTACTTAGACATGAAGTAACGAAATTTAGCATTAGTTTAAAAAAAAATATTGATCTTCTTCAAGCAACACTCCACTGTGTTGCTTATACCATAAAGTTGAAACTACTTTAATTTTTTCTTTGTTCAATACGTAAGATGGCTCTCAGAACCAAAAGGTCGGTTTGGGCATGTTTCGGGGGTCAGGTATCTCATGTATATGACTGTACATATGTAATATATGGTTCTGAATATTGATGCGCCTGGTGGCAAGCGACACGCCTGTCCACAGCAGTTGCAGTGCCACTTTAATTTGTAAAAATCAAAGGGGCTTAACCACGGCGCCGGTCACCTTGAGACATAAGTTGACAAGTCCCATGTGTCTGCAATTTCACCAACACCCTTTCTCTTCAAAACCGGAACGCAGTAATGCTTACGTTACTGCTTGCCGGTAGAAATGTGTAAGGTGGCAAATATCATGATGAACCTATTGTACGATGAAGGTTTTACTGCTACCTACGTCATCTAAGACGACACAAACACGTGTGGTTATGGTGTGGTCTCAATTGGAGTGTTTTTTTTTTGTGTAAATATTGTGCGGTTACTCCGTCATTTGTACACAGATTTCGATGATTCTTTTTTTATTGGAATAAATGGATACTTCAGTAATGATTCCATTTAAATTTCAAGAAAATATTCCGCTAAATCCGCGAATAAATCCGATTTAATTTCACTTACTTTCCGTTAAATGATTGGAGATGGGAGAACTCCTCAACTGTATGCAACAGCTGACTTGTGTTTGAGCTCAAATGTTTCGTTTTGACGAGGACGACTACTACGTCTTACTTTTATAAAGAAGCTATAATTGTAAATGTCCAATAAAATTATCTCAAAAACAAGCTACTAGTAACTACTTATATTACATCGTTGTTATGAGTAGCAAATATCTAGAACGCAGATATTGTCCAAATTCGCAAACTACCAGATGTATAAATAAATCGTAAACAGCTATCATAACATTTTTATTATCAAGAGAAGTCGCTAAAGTACTTGATCTTTAAATAGAGTGGGAAGATACTTAGAGAATAATAACGTAATATTGTTGAGTTAGCTAGTAGACTTTGTAAAAGTAACAAACATTCATTATCATCATCATCCACTTAAATTGCAAGGTAGAAAAGGTGTGCATCAGGGGTACATTCTACAACCTTTGCTATTCAACGTATATAAGAATTAAAAACAAGCTCAAAATTTTCTGATTCAACTTCAAGGTTAGGTACTGAGAAACTATAGCTATTTTATATAACACAGGAATGAGTCTTCCATTCTACTACGTCCATAAAAGAGAAAAGTTAGGGACTATCAAAATGTTGTTAATATGTAATAACATAGTCGGCAAATACGGCCTTGATCATTTTATTTACTGTTCCTTATTTATGGCCAAGTTATGTCCTTTCTAACTACATCTGTTTTGAGGAGTGAATCAAGTACCTTAAATTTTCTTCGTCTATCACAGAAATGTTATTTCTTCTTTTTAGTCGTATTTTACTAAATAATTTTAATTGTTGAACGTCGTGTTTCTAAAAGTTCCTCGTGGCATTATGAACGAGATGATTCCATTTCCTTCCTTTCCCTCGCCATGAGAAAAGCTGCAAAAGCTTTTCTCATGGCGAGGTTAAACAGGAAGATCAGAGAGTACAATAACTAGGTCAATTTGCCTTTAAAGTCAATGTTCATTTATGCCGTTCAATACAGGAACTCGAGAAACATTAAAAAACGTCAAAACCCAAAGTTAAGAGTATATTAATGTTGACTCTTATAAAGCACAAATAATGTTCTTGGCATAAACGTTCG